TGCCCTCTGGGCTTCCTGGCTCCTGGATCTTTAGGGCAGTGCTAATCTAGCCTTTGCCTGAGGCTATCCAGCAAAAGCCTCCCTGCAGGGGCTTGGGCGGGGCGGGTCCCACGGGATCAACAGGGCGGGCCGGAGAGGGAGAGCAGTTATGGCCGCTCTCAGTCCTGTCCCGGGGGCTCTGCCTCTCCGAGTCCCAGCAACCGCTGCAAACCTCGGAGAGAACGCTGCACTCGCTCTGACTGAGGCCAGACAGTCCCTCTTCTCCCGTTTGAGTCTCGGTCCCTAGCGACTCGCCCGGATCTGGAGCTCAGAGTCCGCGACTCCCTCCCGATTGAAAACGCCAACCGCGCCCTCCGCCGCCGCCCGCTCCGCGCACTCCGCACCTCAGTGTTTGACTTCAGCACTGCCCCTCCTCTGAGTGTCCGTATGCGTTACTCTTTCCTCCTAGTTGTAGGACTTCCACTCAGCCAGCGTTCCTGTGGTTCTGGATGATGTCCCTTCCGTCTTTTAGTTTCACTTTTGAAGTGGTTGTTCGAGGCAGCAAACTCCGGAGTTAACCTATGCCGCCATCTTGGTTCTCCTCCTAAAAAACACTTTAAATCACAGTTAAACTTGATGTGAATAACACAAACAATGTACATAATGCAGTTGAAGCAACAACACATCAATAGCCATTCATAGGTTTCCACATGCTGTGTGGCTGCCAGTGATGTAAGAAACAGCATGATTTCAGAGATAGTAAATGTGAACATATGTTAGTCTTAAAAGTGATGAAATAGGGAAATAGTAAAAGTAAAAAAGTTATGCACTCTAGGTTAGTATTATTTAAATTGTGTGGTAATAGGTAAAAAGCGATTTGTACAGCAGATCCTTGAATAACATCAAGTTCAGCATCGTTTCATTATAGCAGTGATGAGATGCTGTAGGAGCTTAACTCTTGCTTATATCAATTAGTAAAATTGGTCTCGTTTTACATTGTTTCGTTTAAAGTTTTAGAACCTATCAACAACGTTAGTGTGGACTTACTATATTTTTTTAGTGTGAAGTGAGACTTTATAACAAACATCTCTCATAAAAATGCAAGTTGCTAAAGACAAATTGAAAGGATTCTGATCTTAAACATAAATATGTAAATTTTGGGAGAGACATAAATTCCATAATGTATAAATAGAGTTTTATTAAAAGTAAATTAACAAGGGATACACTTTGTAAAGTATATGATTGTCTAACAACCATGCTGTGCGCCTGAAACTAATGTAAAATGATATTGAATGTAAACTGTAACTAAAATAAATAAAATTAAAAATAAATAAAAGTAAATTATTCCATTTCTATTTTAGGAAACCCTAGAAAACATATAACATCTTTGAAGAAAGCTGTAGATATGACCTGCCATGGAGAGCCATCTCTTTATAACTCCTTAAACATGGCTATGCAAACTCTAAAGTTAGTGTTTTATATTTATTACATATTTGATCTCAAAGTGTTTTGAATAAGTTGTTGAAGGATAATATGTTAATATGTATCTCTATAAACCCAGCTATAATGAAATCATTATTAAGAGAAATATGTAATATCATTTACGATGTTTAGTGTGGTGTTAATTTTTATTTTATTTTATTTTATTTTTAAAAAAATTTTTTTTTTAAATATATTTTATTGATTTTTCACAGAGAGGAAAGGAGAGGGATAGTTAGAAACATTGATGAGAGAGAAACATCAATCAGCTGCCTCCTGCACATCTCCTACTGGGGATGTGCCCTCAACCAAGGTACATGCCCTTGGCCGGAATCGAACCCGGGACCTTTCAGTCCGCAGGCCGACGCTCTATCCACTGAGCCAAACCGGTCAGGGCTAATTTTTATTTTATATTTTAATTGGTGAGGTTTTAGAAAAATATAATTAAAATTGTAGCAACGTTAGTATTACAAAAGAAATGTTTTGTTGAAAAATTATTTGATTGAAAATTCATTGTATGTGGAATTTAATGTGGTGTAATAATTTGAGTTTATTGTATATTTATTGCCTTTTATTAGCTTACTAGAGGCCCAGTGCATGGATTTGTGCACCACTGGGGTCCCTTGGATTGGCCTGTGGGGATCAGGCCAAAACTGGCTCTCTGACATCCCCTGAGGGTTCCCGGATTGCTAGAGGGCTCAGGCCAGGCCGAGAGACCCCACCGGGGCACGAATCCATGCACTGGGCCTCTAGTATGCATATAAGATCTTTGGTTAATCTCTCCTCACCCTCCTCTCTCCCCCCTTCCCTCTGAGATTCATTAGTCTGTTCCATGTGTCCATGCCTGTGGTTTCCACTCTTGTGTTGAACATCTGCCCCTGGTTGTCAGTGCACATCATAGTTATCGGTCGGCCTGTCAAACAGTTGGCTGGTTGGCCAGTTGCTTAGGCTTTTATATACATAGATTTTGTAATCTGTAAATTAATAGCACTCTTTTCCAACAAGTTCAACTATATGGAATATAACTTAGACCCAAGAGGAAGTATTCAGTATAGTTAAAGCTCATATATTTTGTCCCTGGCTAATGTGTCCTGACTCAGGTTTTTATACCTTTATATAATAGATATTTTTCTAGTTTCAAAGTAGATGAGAAGGTAATATGTGAAATAAAGGTAGGCACAATAGCAACATCCACAAGTGAAAGCTAAGAGCCTAATAAGGAAGATATAAGCAGGTTAGCTATAAATAACTGATAAAATTGCTCGTAAAAGCGTAGAAATCTCTATTTAGTATAGGGGATAACTGCTAATCACATCTTAAAAGTCCATAAGCCATCATTTAATTAAACGGTACACAAGGCCCTAACCAGTTTGGCTCAGTGGATAGAGCGTCAGCCTGCAGACTGAAAGGTCCCAAGTTCGATTCCAATCAGGGGCATGTACCTTGGTTGCTGGCACATCCCCAATGGGAGGTGTGCAGGAGGCAGCTGATCAATGTTTCTAACTATCTCTCTCCTTTACTCTCTGTAAAAAAAAAAAATCAATAAATGGTACACAAAAATTAATGTTTATGCTTATTATGACTCTGAATCACTCTGAACTTTAAAAAAGAAGTACATTACTGTTGTCAAGCCACATGTATACATCCTAAAATTGACCCATATGGTATTATTGTACTTTCCAATGTACCCTTTAGATTTCGTATGAAACAAATCTACTGAAATGTAAGATTAATGATGTCAAGAACCTTTGTCAACTGAAACCGGTTTGGCTCAGTGGATGGAGCTTTGGCCTGCGGATTGAAGGGTCCGAGGTTCGATTCCAGTCAGGGGCATGTACCTTGGTTGCAGGCACATCCCAGTAGGAGATGTGCAGGAGGCAGCTGATCGATGTTTCTCTCTCATCGATGTTTCTAACTCTCTATCTCTCTCCCTTCCTCTGTAAAAATCAATAAAATATATTTAAAAAAAGAAAAAAGAAAAAAAAAGAACATTTGTCAGTCTTGTTTATCTCTCTATCCCTAAAACTTACAAGAATTTTCAATTCCTTTGCATTGTTGAAACAAATGAAATATTCTGTAGTCTAAATTTATAAAACCATGTATACTGTCCTTTTTGGGTTAACTATATTATTGTAATTTGTTGTACCTAATTGGATTGTATTTTGTCTTTCTTTAGACACATGCCTGGGCATACAAGTAGAGAAGTCCTAATCATCTTTAGCAGCCTCACAACTTGTGATCCATCTAATATCTATGACCTAATCAAGGTAGACACAATAATTTTATAATCACAACCAAAATTACAACTCTAAAGAAAATTCAGTAGTGGTTTCCACTCTTCTGTTGAACATCTGCCCCTGGTGGTCTGTGCGCATCATAGCTATCGGTCAGCCGGTCAAACGGTTGGTTGTCCAGTCGCTTAGGCTTTATATAAATAGATTTTGTAATCTGTAAATTAATTCTTGTAAGTTTTACAAGTTTTCAGAGCATTCTGTTTATTTTTCAAACACTAATTGTTTAATGCTCTTTTTTTCTTCCCCCCAAACCATCCATTTCCTTGGATTTTATGAAGACCCTAAAGACAGCTAAAATTAGAGTGTCTGTTATTGGATTGTCTGCAGAAGTTCGGGTTTGCACTGTACTTGCTCGTGAAACTGGTGGTATATATCTAGAATCTTCAATATTTACTCATAATTACTATGTAAGAAGTAACAAGCTATTAATTAAATTAGGGTGTTTTAGCCTGTTTTTAAGCTTTAATTAAACAATTCATGTCCTGAAGTCCAAAATATGGGTAGTCATCTTAAATATATCATTGCTTCTGTTGATGTCTCAAAATGCAATAAATTTCAGAAATTATGTCAGTGTGCAAAGGCAGTATACTCTTGAAAAGCTAGAAATTTCATTAGATGTAATACTTTGTAAAGATCTTATAACTTGGCTTTAATTAAATTGTAACTATAATTATTCCTAGAGAAAACAAGTAAAGATATTATTTAAATAAAATTTTTGAAAAATGATAATTAAATGTTTTTATAGAAATACATAGAAATTATATAATTCATTATTCTCTCTGGAAAGCAGATTTTATTTTATTTTGCTTTTTATCTTGTTAGGCACATACCATGTTATTTTAGATGAAAGCCATTACAAAGAATTGCTAACACATCATGTTAGTCCTCCTCCTGCTAGCTCAAGTTCTGAGTGCTCACTGATTCGTATGGGTAAGTGTTTATTTTAAAATAGACATTTAACATATATATATTTTTTGGCTTAAACTAGACTATTTTCATTTGCACAAGTTATTTTAACATTTAAGATTTTTTAAACTCATATGTTTTATAATTAGATAAAATTATGCTGGTGAAGCGATTTTGGAAAATACAGAGCTATAAAAGGAAAAATAAAACCATTTGTAGTTCTATCACTCAGAGAACACTACTGGTTTTTATTGTTACAGCACAAAAGGTTTAAAGACACTGTATTTATAGAAAAATCCTTATACTAGGAAATTTAACAAATAAGCTACAAAATGCTCAGTACTGTTTGATCAAAGCTGTGTAATACAAATTGAAAAGACACAGAAGGTTGTAGGAAGTTACATCAAATTGCTCAAAGTGATTTTTTTCAGGAGACAGAATGATGGGTTTTATATCATGTAAAAAATTCTTTGTTTTCCTTTATTTTCTAAAAATTTTATAATCATTCATTACATTTATACTTAAAAAGATACAACTTTTTAAATATAAGAAGAATCTCCTTGCTTAATATGCTTTTTTTTTTTTACCTGTAAGTGAAATGGAATGCTTTTCTGCCTTGTTTTGTGGCATTTATAGTGCTGGTCAAGAGCTCTTTCCTATTTCCTCATCTGTAAAATAAGATTAGTATCTATCTTGTGTATTGCTAGGATTGAGTTAATGCAGATGAAGCATTTAGAATAATGGTTTCCATAAACACCCAATACATTTTAATATATCTTTATTGATTTTAGAGAGAGGAAGGGAGATAGATAGAAACATCAGTGGTAAGAGAGAATCATCAATCAGCTGCTTCCTGCATACCCCCTACTGGGGAGCAAGCCTAAAATCCCGGCATGTGTCCTCCTCATTCATGGGCCGACACTCAGCCACTGAGCCACACAGGCTGGGCAACAACACTCAATACATTTTAGATAGTATGTTGGCTAATCTTTTTTTTCTTTTTTCTTTTTTTGTCAGTGGGGGCACCGGGCCGGGTTTATTGCACTGCAAAAGAGTTTAAATAAGTCCCGGGTGTCCCTTGGCTAATCTTTTTTGATATGATACACATCCGTAGCCCATTTTAAAGTTATTGTTTAATCTTATAATAATTTATTCTTCAGCCGAAACTGGTTTGGCTCAGTGGATAGAGCGTCGGCCTGCGGACTGGGGGGTCCCAGGTTCGATTCCGGTCAAGGGCATGTACCTGGGTTGTGGGCACATCCCCAGTGGGGAGTGTGCAGGAGGCGGCTGATCGATGTTTCTCTCTCATCGATGTTTCTGACTCTCTATCTCTCTCCCTTCCTCT